ATATTATTACTATCAAACAACCAGAATGCATATAAATAGAATATTAATGCAAAGAGAAAAAAGTCTAGAAAAGTATGAGTACCAATATCAAAAAACAAAAATCTTTTATAATTACTACTTTTTTTGTAGCTAGCATTTAAATATATGTTATCTATAAGAAATTGGTTCTCATAAATAATGATTCCATATTATCATAATATGCACCACAAACTTTAATAATGACGTCATAATAGTAAAGTTCACATATGACTAAGAGTATCATAATATAATAGAATTCATATTCTTCTCCTGTGAAATATTTTGACAAATGTTACGCTTCTCAATATTACACATTCGATCGATTGTGAAAGGTATTAAGACAAATAACTCTAAAATCATTGTGACAACTAAAATGGTGATTTGCAAATAATAGGTTATGTAGTTTGTTTGTCTGCCAAATAAATAACACTAAAAAGGGAATATTCGATTCTGATCAAAATATTTTTAAATGTTTGAATAAGTTGTCACTTTTTAATTTGAACATTTACAATCTTAATTGTGTATTGTACTCGATAATATGCGCAATTACTTTAGAGTATGTACTTTCATGTAATGTGTGATGATATTAAAAATAGTTTAGCGTCTTTTCGGAGAAGTACATGATTTTGGAAGATCAACTTTTATTTATAAATGAAATTAGTTCCCACCTCATAAGATATGTACCAATTTGTCGACATAGAGAGAGAGAGAGAGAGAGAGAGAGAGAGAGAGAGAGGGTAATGTAGTAGTTTATATAATGATTAAAAAATTCAAGAATTTCAATGACTATTTCACAGAGATATTTGTGAAATGTTCGTAAAAGTACCTTATATATTATGATCAATTATGAAAATTGACTCAGGGGCGGACCTAGGCAGGCGCCCATAGGGGCACGGGCCCCTGTGCAATTTAATAAAAATATTACATATATAATTATATTGTAAAATAATTACAAGAGATTTTTTTTAAAAAAATTTAAGTTGGTTGCATTTGGTATTTATATTATGTTGTAGGCAACATATATAAATGAGTTAAATGGATTTTCCACAAAAATCAACATTTATTTTGATACATATTGGATTTAGGTGTTCTTAAAATTATAATTATAAGTTTAAATTAGCTACTAAATTGTGTTTTTCATTGATTTTTTAAGTAATAAATATTTATCTTTATTATATAAAAAAGTCTGCCAATGCTGACGTTGTAAGAATATCCAGTGCAAAAGAAAAACAATTTGGTATTTGAAAAAAATATATTTAATGAGATTTGAATTTGTTTAATTGATAGTGATATAAATACAAGAACATGCAGATAATAAATATCTTTTTTTTTTGCACTTTGTAAAGGTTATGTTTGTGCCCCTTTAGTCTTGCGAGTCTGCGTCCATCCCTGGTTTGACTATATGTTTGGCTAAAGCATTTCTAAGTGTTGAATAAAG